GTTTCTACCTAAGAACTAAGACATGAACCATGTTTCTGCCGTCTCGGTTACCTCTGAGACATTACGGATATAGCTTCCCAGATCCTTGCCCGCTGTTTTGTTTCTGCTTACTCCCCTGAGCCATGTCTCGGGAAGGATTGCAACGCCTGTCAGGTGTATCGGAGGGTTCCCTTGGGCGTGGAAGCCCATGTTCCACCAATACAGGTTGCAGCCTGTCCGCGTTGAAGCTATACACTATCTATCAACCACATGCACTCATGCACTCAAGCAGTTCTGGGTATTTCTAAGAATGGTTGCATCTACGGATCTGCGGCTTATGTCTCGGCAGCTACTCTCATCCCGGAAGCAAGCCGGTAGACTATGACTGGTAACCGATGCAAAATCGTGACATTGCTAGAAACCCGCTGACGTTCATTCGACTAAACGCAAGCACACTTTCTTTTTTCAACTTCATCGACAGCCTTCGGCCATTTGAATAAGTTCCGCCGACGCCACTAAAACGTTGACAGCCTGCCGATCCGTATGGCGCACATACCACAGTCACCGATCTGCATCCATTGAGCCATCACCAGGCATCAGGCATCAAATCACAGCCATCCGTCGCACAGAATCAATAAAACAGAGTTTGGAGGCTCTGCCCCTGAATTGCCTGATATGGTAGAATGTTTCGATCCCTGTTCCCAGCCTCATAGCCCCCAAGCTTCACAAAGCCTGCATGGCCTGGGAATGCGGTACAAGCCGTGGGATCGTTTTACGATGTATGTCTTGGCTGTGACTAACCATTGACCAATAGCCGGTATGTTTCAATTAACATATCACGATGCGCATAACACCTTTTCAAGTAGTCCTACATTGCCTTGTTACATTCTGTCCCATTCACAACTCGTCCCTGGCATGGGCCTCCTGGCCAGGATCTTCCATAGCCATGATCTTGACGACAAGACTAGTCCATCCAGTGAAGTGCTGTGTTCGCTGGCCGGCACCCGTATCGGGGTTGTACTGCTCCCAGGCGAAGCCTGTTTCTTCCCAACTCTTGTACACGGTGTCAACAAGGTTCCTACGGAGACGCCTGAACAGATCCTTCGCTTTACCCCTGTAGGGGCCTTCCTGCGAAGCAACGTTCTATATGCACATGTTAGTCTTTGTACTACTTCGCCAAGGGACATGTGGGGGAAACCCTACCTGTAGTTGAGACAAAGCCAGGTAATTGATAGGCATCCAAACCGGGCTGCGCCAGTAGTTCTCGCCCGTGGCGTAGAACTCATCCTTTTTACTCAAGCTGCGAATGCCGTGGGGGCTCCAAAGGTGCTCCTCGTCACCGATCAGTTCAAGAATCTTGCCCAACTTGGGGTCGTCAGCCTTCATCAGGCCGACCAGGAAAGGGAACAGGGAAATGTAGCCTTTGTGGCATACGAGTGCGTGTTCCTCGTAATCATCAATCGTTGCGTCACAATAGCAACCCTCCTTATCGGACCAGTGGAGATCATTGAGGTTGTGCTCGATGCCATCCAAGTTCTTCCTATACTCATTCACATCTTCGGCCATGCCGAGGGCGTCTGCGATGTTCATCAACGATTTTGTCATCAGCCCAACCCAGGACATGAGATCGACGTGCAGCTCGCCCGGCGAAGGGGGCTGGGGTCGAGGATAGTCGTCCAGGCCACTGGTGAGGATGTGAGTCTCAGTACGGCCCCTCCATCTGTAAGCTTCCTTGGTTGAGTATGCCTCACGGTCATAGTTCTTTATGTCACCTCGCTGAGTTTTGCGGAACCAGTCGTATTGTTGTCTCAACAGGGGGTACAACTTTCGAAGATAGTTCTCGCCAAGCTCGATATTGTCGAGGTGAGCGGTTTGCAGAGGATCGGCCCCCAGAATGCGTTCCTTTGCCTCGCTGTTCGTTCCGTTTGATGCGCGAAGACGCTCCATGAAGCCCTCGATGATAAGGAAGAGGGTAGGGGGGTTGGCATAATGTGGAAATTGCACCTGAAACTCAGGGGGGACTTTGCTCCGCGCCTCGTGACCTAGAATTTGTTCGCGCGCGATCCAGCCATCTTCGTCCATAGTGTTGTACCAGCTCTTGACAACTTCAAGTGTGAGGTCAATATCCCAGTCGGCAATGGGAATCAGGTGAAATCCTTCATCCCACAGGAAACCACGGGGGAAGAAAGGGCGAGAAGGAACACTAGTGAAAAGCTCATAGGGGCCTTCGAGTTCTGGCTGCGTGCGTGCCTTGGCTTGCGCGGCCTCCTCCCAGAACCCGTCGTTCTGCTCCTCATACTCAGGCGCATACGATCGATCAATTAGCTGGTGACCATGGAAGTATCCTATGCCGCCAATGAGGTTCGACAGCATGCTCTTGCCAAATTTCTTGTACTTCTCCTCTGTAAAAGGCTCCTTGAGCTTGAAGGTGTTGGTGAAGCGCTCGTTGAAGATTTCTGAAGTCTTCTCGATTTGTTCAGTAACCTCGTCGGAAGTAAAGTCCTTACCTCCAGATCCCGACGAAAAGATGACATCGAACTCGAACGGTCCCTCGAAAGTCTTCTCGACGATATGAACGTTACCTTTTCCAGGCGCATGGGCAATACGGTACACCTGCCACGGTGGAGGCGGATCCGCCTGGTCAGCGTTCTGCTGCACGGGCGAAACGGCATCTTGAAGTTGCTTGAAGACAACGGGCTTGCCCTGCCAGGTGAGGTCGGCTGGGACCTCAGCACTCGAGACGATGGTTGTGTCGCCATGTCGATCTTCCAGAAACTTGTGGTCTGTTGAAGGGTGCTCTCCGGTACCTTTTGTGATAAGAAGCTTGTAGTCTCCTAGCGCCGTTGAACTGCCCTTGAGAGTAACGTCGTCTTCAAAACCATACTGAGTACCTTCACCTTCAACAGCAAGTTCGCCCTGTCCATCCTGGGCGATGTAATAGAACAGCATGGTCCTGGTGTTTTTGGGCGCACCGTCTCGCAGCTCGCCCTTGATTCGAGCAGCCCAGCTGCCTCCATGGTTTCCACCAGGGATCTTCACAAAAGTAGTCGTCAAGTCGATGTTGTTGCCTTTGTCGTGAATAGATTGCACACCGCCTATGCGGGCATCATACTCATCCCACCCGTAGCCATGCATATCTTCTCCCTGCTCGCAAGTATATCTGAAACCTACAAGGCAAGTGTCAGAGCATTTGGACCACGAAGCTTGCTATTTCACTTACCATTCTGAATATCATGGTAGTTGTCGACTTTCCCCCACATGAGCCCTGTCCATAGGCCATCTGGTGTTCTTGGTCGCACACCAAAGTACAGATTGGATTTGTAGGGGCCCCAAAAGAGACTCTGGTTGTTTTGACGGCCGATTTCTGTCGTCAGCACAGAAGATGCATCGTCTGCGGCTGAGACGCCCAGAGCGAGTGTCGCCGCCGACACCCAATGAGCAATTTTCACCATACTGACGATGAAAAGTGTTTCTCACAAGCCTCTACAAGAGAAATTGAGATAAATACTTTTTTGAGCGAACCCTCGAGAATTCAATTCTTCATTGGGTGAATTTGTGCGTGAACAAGCTCCAGAGAACACGTAGTTAGGAGTTGCGAACTGATATGACGATGCAAGGCTGAGAGTTGGAGAACGATCCGGGGTCTGGAAAGAGCTCGGGCCAATGATGAAGCTTCACCAGCCACCGCCACTTGAAGATCAAACTCCACTTAAAAGTTATCTTGTTTCAGCCTTCCTCTAACTAGCTAACTAGAACTTGTTGGATTCATTTTCAAACATTCTTATTCTTCACCTGACACTGTCAATATCTCAACCCCACCAGCAAATTCTCAGAAACAGGAATAAAAATCGACAACACACACAATGGGAGACTCTAGGCGAAGCAGACGACCCGATAGTCGTCAGATGTGGGACGAATCCGACAGACGCGATAGACGTGGAGGACACAACAGGGACAACGACCGCGATCGCAGAGGATACAGGTCAAGGTCACGCGAGCGCCGTGGATACAGAGATCGATCAAGATCGCCAGAAAGGAGACATCGAGATCGAGATCGAGATGGTGATAGGAACCGACCTAGGGATAGAGGCCCACGCCATCATGATGATCGAGACAGGAGGGATAGACGGAGAGAGGATGCAGAGGATGCGCCACCAAGACAGAGACGAGATGAGCGTCGTGAAGATGATAGAGACAAGAGAAGTATGCACTCACCCCCATTTTAACGTTATGAAAATCTAACTTGCCACGTAGGTAAATCTCGTCGCTCAGCGTCACCGCAATCACGAAGCCCTACTCACGAAGCACTTCCCACGCGCCCTCGTCCCGACGCAAAGCGCCCGGCACCAAACATGTCCTTCAACGTCGGCTCTCGCGCAAGCCGCTCGCCACTACCGCCATCACGCGCACAGCATGAAGAGGAAACCAATCGCTCGGAAGAGGGCCAGGCTTCAGAGGTTGAAGAAGATCCTATGGACGCAGAGGACGACGATATGGCCGCTATGCAGGCTATGATGGGCTTCGGCGGGTTTGGAACGACCAAGAACAAGAAGGTTTCGGGCAACAATGCTGGTGGCGTGCACAAAGAGAAGAAGACGGAGTATCGTCAGTATATGAACAGGAACGGCGGATTCAACAGGCCATTGAGTCCATCACGCTGAGCGTTCTGGCTAGAAGGCGTTGAGGCAGTACGGGTTACGATCTCCGTGAGGACAACTGGCACTTTTAAGGTTGTGCCGTAAAGGTAAACTGGATTGGCGTATGGATGGATTGGTTTTCCTGCCGAACGAGCGGGACATCAAAGTTTACAGTATCTTACGTGTGTAATGCATTCTCAGCCCTGCTTTCACGTTCCTCTTTCGCGTTCCTCTTTCGCATTACTCTCTGCGTCAATACATATTCCGTCCGGGCTTAACTTCGAGCATCCCAAGGATGTGCCTGATTCCTCAGCTTTTCCGACAAAACCCTCCATTTACACGAGCCAGCACAAGCTTCCGCAGAATATATGCACCAGTCTCGCCATGGCCATCCTTGCGGCATTCTTCCGCTCTTTTGAGGGCGTCGTACTCAGTATAACAGCCATCCACATAGTCCTCACCACTTTGTCGAACTGGATATGTCGACCCGCTACTCCTACACCAGAAGAGCTCATACGATCAAGACGCGAAAACCATACCGCCGGTCGATCGGCCGTGAACAGAGTTGTTGAAGCTGCTCCCCGGACAGCCGCTGGCAAGCACCCCTACCATAAGCCTTGTCACAGATGGTGGTGGTATGCTATGGCCTTATGGCCAGCCCCTAGTGACCGTCTTTGCCGTCAGCCTCGTCGCAAATGGCGGTGGTACATTGTGGCCCTGTGGCCAGCTCGCGATGACCCAAATCGGTGGTTCATTCTGATCACAGCCTTGTCCATTAGTATACTCACTTTCATTTTCTTCTTGCGAGAGATATTCCCCGACATTTATCAGGGTCATGTTCGATTCTTTACGGTCCTCTCGTTTCTGGCACTCGAAGTCGGACGTGGCGCTTACTTCTACCATCTCTTGAAAGACTGCTCTGTTCTGATTCAAGAAGTATGCATTGGTCTCATGGGTCATGTCACTGGTGGCTTCTGCCGCCTCGGCAGTCTATTCGCTGTCCCTCCGATGAATCATTGAACAAGCAGCGACGAGGAAAGTCGACGGAAACCTGGAATCATGGTAGGAAGAAGCAATCTTGGGTGGAAGAGTCTTTGGGACAGCTGAACGATCAACAACGCTGCCGAAGGGGGGTTTGGGTTACGAGGTCAAGGATATGAAAGGGTCACAAGCACCCGAATGCGATCGGGCCTGAACAGCATGGATAACTAATTGACACGCTCGTTGGGTCATATCAGACAGACAAGGGCTTGCTCAAGGACAAGGACGGAGCTTGTGTTGTAGTACCCAAGGTAAAGACTCCGAGCTGAGGCAGGGTACCCAAGTTCTGACTGTCACTTGCGACCAACACTGCAATATCAACATCGCCATGATACACAAATTGTTCAAGTACCCTCTCTTCCACTGTATGTGTTGGTGTAGACATTACGTATAGCGCGTGCAATACATACAAACGCGATCTTTCCACCCCTAAACAGTTCCCAACACCATTGGTATGCATCTCGAATCACAAACACCGCCCATCCATCTCATCCTCGTGCCTGTACCATGCCATGCCATGCCATGCCTATGCCTATGCGTTTTCCCCTTGCGCTTCTTCTGGGGCACCGTCGCCGGTAGTCGCGGCTCTAGGTGTTGGAACATCATCTTCTATAGGCGCGTCTTCTTCCTTCGGTGGCTCTTTGGCCGCCTCTCCTTCTTCTACCTTTGACTCTTCCTTGGGTTCTTCCCTTTGTTCGTCTGGGTTCTCTTCTGACTGATTTGTAGTCGCCCTTTCTCTTCGCCGTCTTCGTAGCCTTCTCTCTTCCTCTGCTGTCTGCCGTCTGGCTTTTCGGAGGGTTTCTCTCCTCTCGGGATCGTTGTCATCTGCGCCATCACCACCGCGCATACCTTGTAGGAGAGCTGCTGCTCTATCGGCAACGTCGTCTTCACCTTCACGAGGTGATGAGAGGCCGGGGCTGAGCACTTTGCTGTCGTCTTCGGTAGGTTCCTCCTTGTTCTTGAGGCCAGCTTCCACTTCTGGGATTTCGTCAAGGTCGGGAATCTTTTGTCCTGACGCAACGCGGACCTGGTGACGATCCTTGAGTCGCGCACGCCTTCTTCGGTCTCTCTGGTCCCGAGCTTGCGGCGCAGCTGCACGTAGCTTCTCCAGGAGGGAATCCATGGCGCCGGTATTGGATGGGGACGTCGGTCCCGCCTCGGCGTTGGCGTTGGTAAGTTTGAGTTGTGCTGTGTGCTTCCGTTTCATTGACGCCTCGTTACGCTTCCTTGTCTCTTCCACCTGCACGTTCTTGTCACGAGACTTCTTCCACTCTCCAACGAACAATGCCAACTTGGCAAAGAAATCTCGGCGCGCGCCATCATCTGCGGGGTCCTCGCCGTAAAAAACCATGATATCCTTGTATGTCTTCATCATTTCTTCCAAGTACAGCTCCATCTGTTCGGATTTTCTTCTGGCTTCCTTCATAATGCGTTGGACTATTTGACTCACTCGGTCCTGGGGATGGAACTGCTTGGGGTCGCTTAGGTTACCAGAATCCAATGACATTTGAATGTTTCGAATGTTGTCGATGTATTTCTTCGCATCAGCCTGAAGTTGCTCAATGTTGATCTTCTGTGCCGTCATAACTCCGTTGATATCATCCGCAAATGTCTCCCACTCAGGGTACTGGTTCCGTACAATACGCTCCACGAGATCGGCCAATGTTGACTCGTTCTTGTCGTCCTTGACCATACCCAATCTTGCAAGAGAGCTGAGCTTGAAACCACGCGCTTGCTTGTTCGCATCGTTCATGTAATTACCAATATCCAAAATAAGGCCAAGTACGTTCATCAATGAAACGGAATCGCGTAGCGACTCAGATACTGTCACAACCTGTCGGATCTTCTCGTTAATCTCTTCGTACTCTTGCTCAAAGCTTCTAGTAAGAGCAAGGGCCCTCATTCGACTCTTCCAGTAGTGGTGTAACTCAAAAGCCGTGTACAGGTAAAGCTGATCTTGTCGAGTGAGCTCCGAGGGGTCAAGTTCACGGTCTTGGGACTTGGCATCAGGTCCAGTCCAGTCCTTGCTGTACGGTGCCATTTGCTTGACTGTGTTGTCGGGGATATTACAGAGGTCGTCCTTCTGCAAAAAGTCCATCACTACAGTGTTGTCTAGAATCTCTGGATCGCAGTGAATGATCATTTGAACAATCTTTTCGACAGAGTACTGTGAAAACTTGGCAAATGCAATTTCTATGCAGTATTAGCAGGTAAAGCAATTAGGCATAAAAGGGTGTACACTTACCATAGGCCTTGCGGAGATCAGAAGAGATGATTTGCTTCTTGTCATCTTTCTTAGAAGAGCTTCCTATACCAATCTTCTTGATCTCCTTAGCCATGAACAGTTTCTCAACCTCGTCGAGAATACCCTTCTTGCTGAGCTCCTGATACTTCTCCTCTCGGGCTTCGGCAGAGGGGGTATGGGCTGCCCAGTGGCTGGTCTCAGGGGCATCGACCTTCTCCCAATGCAGGGCCTTGAGCTTCTTCTTGGGACGAACCACGGGCAGGCCAATGCTTGGTGCAGCCCCGAAGGCGGGTTGTCGAGCCAAGAAGTGCCCAGACATAGCACCAGGCAAAGGAGGAGGTGGCGGAGGGGGCATACCTCCAGCACCAGGCAACGGAGGCGGTGGTGGGGGGGGAGGAGGTCCACCACCTGGCATCAGCATGCCAGGCAACGGAGGCGGAGGCGGAGGGGCACCGGGAATCTGGCCCGGCATAGGGGGAGGCGGCGGCGGTGGCGGTGGTGGCGGAGCTCCGGGTATTTGACCGGGCATCGGAGGAGGTGGAGGTGGCGGCGGAGGCGGAGGAGCAGCACCAGTGACTTCGATTTTGGGAGTGTCGCTATCACCTGGGGGAGTGATAGGTGATGAAGTCTCCATACTAGGGTGAGAAGGACCGGTGGTATCATCTTCAGAATCACTGGCATCGAACTTCTTGACCTTGGACCCAATCTCACCAAGCAAGCCAGCTTGCTGCTTGGGGTCTATCGTAGGTCGCTTCATCTCGACAATTCTTGGCTTCTCGAAGATGACACCATCCTCGCCCTCAGTCTCGTCGTCCTCATCGATCACCTCACCATCAGAGCGTCTCTTAAGGGGCTTGCGTGGAATCTTGGTATTGCGGTGGATGCTGCCCAGAACGCTGTTGGTGAAGTCCCGAGGAGGTGTACCACCACCAGGAGGTGTTCCAGGCCTGTCATCCATCTCTTCGCGCAGGGCTCGAAGACGGTCTGAAGGCCCAACAGCGTCTCCCCAAACACGTCCCTCAAGCTTGTATTGTGTCTTCTGCCGCTCGATCTGCATCTGTAACCGCTCCATGAGGCGTTCGCGATCTAGGATACCCTGCATACGAGCAGGGTCTTCCACGCCAGCCATCTTGCTGCTGGCGCTGCTAGCAGCAGCGGCGCTTTTGATAGCCTTGGAAGCAGCTACGTCCTGTGCATCTCGAAGCATCAGGTATAGCTCTCTTGTTTCCAACTCGTATCGCTGGGCTTCCTTGGCTCTCATAGTCTGCATACTGTCCAATTCAGCTTTAAGTCCATCTGCCTGTCTTCTTTGAGCATCGATGAAACGAGATTGTTCGTCCAGTTGCTTTTGTAACTTGGCGACCAGTCCATCAGCACCCAGCTCAAGCTGAGCCTTCATCTCATCACGCTCAGCCATCGCGGCCTCGGCGATTTGTCGCGATTCAAGGGCCTCATCCTGGGCTTGCCTGGCTTCTGAGTCTGTATGCAATTTGTCGAGGAGACTTTGAACCGTGAAGTTGAGACTCTGCTTGAGATCCATGTTCGGCAGTCGCCGATCCATAGCAACGTAGCTAAGCATGGAATCGACCAGCTGGAACATGCGTAGTCGTTCCTCGCCATCGTTTGCTCGGATGAGCATAAGATGCTGGAGAGCCGAAATAAAGTAGTCGTTGGTCTTGGTGCCATGAAGACGCTGCTGAATAGCATCGGCAATTTGAACGGGATCTGTCAGATCCTTGACCTCGCCCTCGACATCGTCCTTGATACTGCTATTCTCCCTCTCAAGCATATCCTCATAGTCAATGGCTTCGTTTGTTCTGAACCGTTCAATCTGTTTGTCCAAGAGTTCGTATTGGAACTCCTCCATCTTCGTCAAGATTCGCTTGATACCACATGCTGTAAATTGGGCTCGAATGTGTATCCTCAACTCCAGGTCTCTCTCGGGCGAATCGATGATCATGTTGACGAGCATGAGAGTCGCAACGGCGTATTCCATTAGCAAGTTCTCCATTCCAATACCTCCAGTCCTCAACTCTTCGCTAGCACCGACCAAACTTCCCATCTTGCCCCTACCATCAATGGTGACCTCCACCAAACGCATCCAAGCATCGAATCTTCCATTTTCTCCAGATGCGGTCTTGACCTCGTCCAGCGCCTGTATGACCTTCAGATGACCTTCGGCATTCTCTCCCCAGGTGCATAGGAAGGTTATAATCTCGCTGACAAGTTTCCGCGTGGTGAGACGAGGAGATATAAGAGAGCTAGCAAGGGCTACCATGACCTTCTGGTGAATCAAGGCATCGTCGGCGCCGAACTTGTTGTTCATGAGCGCCTTTACACACTTGATAATATCATATTCGCGATCGAGATTCTTGTCGATACGGGTGTTATCCTGGACTGGCCCCTGTGCTGTCCTGCGGTTGATCTTAAGCAGCAAGGTCATCAGAGCGACCTGTCCCTGACACTCAACGAATCTCTTGACCCAACCGATTTGTTGTGTTCGCAAATTGACTTCCAAACTTCCCATACCTTTCGTGTCAAGGCGATCCTCCATAACTCGCCGCACGTACCATTCCGGAGTGCCTTCTTCATCTGAGTACGTCGTGATATCGGGAGTCGCGGTATACTGGTTCGGGCGTGCTGTTTGTCGGCGCTTCTGCTCGCCTTGCCATTCAGTAAGTCGATCCTGATAGATGAGCGTCCACTTCTTCTGGGCGGGGTAGGCCATCATCTGTCTCCTGGCCTGCTCAGGGAGATTGTGCCATCCTCGCTTCTGCATCAGTTGGAGGAACATCTGCTCGACCACATTATCGTCATCTGGTTTTGGGAAATAGAAACCACCCTGTGGATCGCTTTGTCCTGGAGGGGGGCCAGACGGAAATTTGGTAAACCGGTGAGAATCGCGGTTCGAGTGCTGAGAAGCAGCATAAGAGCTCTGAGAAGAGGCACTGGGCATAGCTACATGTGGTGAGCGTGATATCCTTCCATCAATGAAACCTGTATTACCTGACTGAATGCTCAGATTATCAGCCGAGCCCCGAGCATTAGATGACATATATGAGTCGTATCGAGGGTTGGGGGGATTATTCGAGTGGGAAGAGCTGCCCCTAGGCGGACCCCATTGCTGATACTGGGTCTGACGGCCCGTTGAAGCCATAGTAACATTGCCATATCCATATCCAAGAGGTTGTCGCCCAGGGGAATGGGCACCAGACTGTGCCGACGTCCCATCCCAGCTCGGGTATTGGTGAAAGTCCAGGCCATTTTTGTTCAGGTGGTGCGGAAGAGGTTCACGGCGCACTGGCATCTGCTCGCCTTTGGGCAGATACTCGACGGGTATGGGAGAGCGTGATCCACCTCCAACGGCATCGTAGGGTATCGACGTAATTACGCCTGCCATCTGGTTGATACCGCCATCAGAAGATTCTGGGCGGTCCAACGAAATGGCAGACGACTCTCGTTTGTGGCGCGAGGAGCGAAAACTGGCGGCATCGTCTGCGGGGTATCTCGATTCTTCGGTCAAGCGCTTGTCTTTGTGCTTACTTCGTGAGAATAAAGACCGGCCGCCAGAGGACTGCCTCGTCTTGTCAGACATGGCGACGGCGACGGCGGTATGTGTGACAGAGCGGTCGTGGCCGCGACAGTCGTCGAAGCGGAGGGTTTAGTTTGCGAATCGTATTTCGAAGATACCTGTGTTGGTGTCGATCCGGGGTGTGCAGTAAGGGAGAAAAGGAGGTGCCAGGGTTTCGATGAGCCTGGGGAAACGTTTGCCAACGGCTACCAAATTGAACACGTGAAGTTGGCGATATGCTGGCCAAGGGCCGCTCGCTTCATCGGGGGCACGATATCGCCGTTCAGGAAGATATTGAAGTTATTCGGGGTCCGGAGCGTCAGTCGAATCGGCGGGAGCGCTATGGTCGGTCCTGAAACCTTGGTCGTCTGGAGTTTGGTTGAGTGTGAAGACACCCGCGTAGATAGGGAGGGGGTAAAGGAAGGTAAAGGACAAAGAAAAGGCCTAAGCTTGGGCTTTGGATAGATGATGCAGACGGAATGTTTCAATGAGCGGTGCCAGAATGGAATAAAACTAAATTAATTGAACTGCAACCCGAATTAAGTCGAAATGGTGTGAATAATAAGGAGCGTAGCGTGTCACTGCACAGCTGCAGTCGGGTTGGGTGTCGTATAACGTTAGAGTTAGGTAGGTCGTGCAGTGTGGTGTAGCAGTGTAGCAGTGTAGCAGTGTACGAGCAGCAGTAGGTAGTTAGCCAGCCCAACCCAGAGATGGGAATGACTTGGCTTCCAATGGATCCTTCTATGATCAGGGATCTAAGGACCAAGCCGAGGGTCTATCAAGATGGATGCGGATTGGTTCATTTGTTTACGGGGGCGATGGACCTAATATTGCTTAGCCGCCGCTTGAGCTCTTATTCTTAGGTTGAGAACGCCTGCACGGCCCAAGGCTAGAGATATAGATATATCTTGATACTCGATAGATAATGTAGTAAATTAGTATTATAAAAAGTCACTACAGTTAAACCAGAAAGTATAGGTATATCGTAATATTAGTGAATTGCCTTATGAATAATGCTATGTAGCATAATCATGCATGGATGCTCCTTATGCCCAAGTAGCCCTGTGACTGGTCTGAGAGACACTTTTTTAGCATCGACGCCAGGCGGGGAGTTTTCTTTAGCATCAGGAGATCTGCCAGGGGAAGTGGGCTCTGTAGATTGAGGACGCGCAGATGCATGTCAACCTGGGAGAAAACCAAGTTGAAGAACTTGGAGCATACCTAAAGAGAGCCTGGATACAGCGACGACGCTCATAGAAAGAACCTCTTGTCGTCCTTGGAGTCCCGAGTGACAGAAATCTGTCACTGTTAGTGATACATCAATACCAGACGCTTGGGACATTTGAGTTACCTTTCAGTGAGGTGTCGCACAAAAAAGTCTTACTGGGATCAATATATGGTGCAATAACACCAGGTCTTTCGGCTGCGAACCAATCCTATCATCCTATAAATGGTTCATGACTATTCTTAGTTGGGGTTTTCAGCTGCGCCAACGTGTAACAATCCTCGAACGATGAGATCAGTTACACGACCGTTCATTTCAACGCGGGACCAAAAATAATTGCCAGTCTCTTCTTTATCAAAGCATCTATCTTTCAGAAGCTAAAGTAATAATTACTCATAGAACTACGCATCTGTCTCAAGTCCCCTGCTGCGACTCTGAGCATCTCCACCAGATCGAGACCTATATGTCCATCAAAAGATTGTTTTATTCTTGATGCTCAAGCGAGGTCGGCTGTCTCAAATTCCCCATTCCGTTCACTGCCAGTTTCTGATTGCAGTGTGTCAGTGTATAAATGGTTGAGATAGCATACGACGGTGACGTGTCCCATGAAGATGGAAGATTATGCGCATGTGAACAGCGATACGCTAAATTAATGGCTCGTGTTGAAGTGCCGGTGATCGAGATAATGCAGTAAATATGAGGTTACGATGTATTAGGTCTTTAATGCATGGAAGAGTTGACAGATAGGTAAGTACCTATAGTACCTCACCTCTACCTTAGTACCTAGTAGGTATCCTTTCAGGTCGGTACCTAAGGTAGGTAGCGGGGTAGGTACCTAGTAGGTATAGTAGACAGATAATTATCTATACCTGTCTACCTAGGCAAGCCATATAAAAACTGTCATCCCTTAAGGAATTAGGAAATGTATCGCTGAGATTATTGAGATCGTTCTAGAAAAATGCTGTATAGCCGTTAGTGATGATGGTCCCCCTGCAAGTCTGAACGCTTAGGTTCTGTTGGCCCGCCCCTTTTAGCGGGATCTTCGGCGTCGTCACCTCCCGTTGGGCCCTTGTGGCTTCAGCCACGTTTCCCGCTGTAGCCTCAGGGCGATCACGGCAACCTCCAGCTTCAACATCGTGACATTCATTTTCGGCCTCGAAACTTGCTGAGCCGAACTGCGAGACTGTCGTCTTGAATTCCGATATATAGAACATGGATGCTACCATGTCCGTTATCAAGGTAACAAACACATCATGACAACTTGCTCCTTGCTCCTCAGCTACTGACATCCGCATGATCGCTACTAGACGCTCATTGTTCCCGCTGTAATCTCCTTGATACTCTTCATCCTCCTCACATACGTCCTCATTCCCCTCTGGCGCCGATATGCCCGATACAGCCAGTATCTACCTCTCGACACACTCTCTTCCCAGACATCGTCTCTGCGACAGCGCATTACGTCCCGAATAGCCACTTGGCGTTCCAATCGCGCAGTCGCATTCGCATCCGAGGACGTCTCCGATGATGGGCTGGAAGACGATGATGGAGAGGAACTTGGGAGCGTCGACGAGGATACGTGGCGCCAGATGGAGGCTGATACTCGTGCTGCACGGCCAGACAACGCCAGGCGATTAAGTAGAGAGTAAGTGCTGCTGTTAAACAACCCGGAACCCTTATTGCTCGTCCTCATCTACAACAGTGACTGACATCATGTTTGCAGTCTTGAAGAAGGTTTTAGGGACGATAGCGACGATGAGCCAGACCGGCTTGCAAGGAATAATTTTAGATCATAATGTTACAATTCAACGCGTTTCTTGCACCCTTCGGATTTATGAAATACCTTATATAGGTATATGGATGGATGTCAAGCAGAGCGCATCTGCGAGGCGACAGCAGAAACAGTCAGTTATACTTGAAGATTTGAAACGCTTAGATCAATCTAGGAAAAGTTATCCAAGTCGGTAGTTTTATTAATATCATGTCGCGAATGAATCCAAGTATACCCCAAGTTGCCTGGGTCTATCTCGCCGAGATGTGGAAATGGCTGATCAAACAAATTTAGTAATCCCGAACAACTCTCACGCACATCGTATTCTCGAGTGATGGAACATGACGTGCAGCTTATTATACGGCAGTATTCTTCATAGTCCAATGTGACTTTGAAGCAACAGATTGTTATTCATTCATCGCTTGTATCGCTGTCTGCTTCGATCATTAAAATCATATCGCTAAAACTGTATCGCTCTTCATCCAAGATTGAAATCGCACCAGTTTCAAGGCACAACCAACAACGATATATACAGCCATTTTTTCGAATGTGAAAGGGAAACCCCCAGGTCCTTGATGCCACCCCCATGGCCAAGTCCTCCGCTCGATACAGAAGCTAGAATGTGGTCATGCGGCTATCGGCTGAGCAACTTTCCTTTTCCCCTTTGCCTTCGACTCTGTTTCCTTGGCTGACTTCTTTGGATCATCCTTCGGTGGATCAGGGAGAGCCACTACTGTTTCGGGGTTTTTCTCAGTCATAACTCCCCCAGGACCAACATTGGTCTTTTTGTCGATAGAGCCCAGTGCCGGATCCGAGGCAGTCTTGTGCACGGGCAATTGAGGCGCAGTGCCATTGGTGGCTGTGGGATTCGTCTTGTTCTTGCTTCCTACGGTGCCATTAGTTGATGCGGCCCCCACGGCAGATCTGCCCGTCTCTCCCTCTCCTGGTGTAGGATCTCCTGGTGTAGGAACTTCGAAACGAAGTTGCTTAGCGATGTCAGGTAACTTCCACGAAGTGGGAGCTTCAGCAGGAGTGATCGCATCAGGATCGTCAGCGTTCCCAACTACTGGAGGGATTTCACCTGTCTTCTGTTTTATTGTGACAGCCTGGCTTCGGTTCTCTCTCATTTCGGTGCTTGGGCCTGTGGGCTGGTTGCTCTGCTCTTGCTGACCCGGGAGGGTTGCGATCTCAGGGGCACCAATGGATCGTCTGACAGCGCTTTGTTTTTGAGGATCCCTGTTTGCCGGGGACTCTATGACGTTATTCAGCCATGTGTATCTGCGTGTCTCGCATGCCTGAAAATGCTGTGTGCGAAATGAAAGCCATTCGTCATCCAACAATCGGTTGATCCTAAGGAACTTCCATTCGTACCAGGCGCGCTAGGCCTTTCTAGCACGAGAAACCATACTCTCTGGTAGATAGGTATGTTGCCTTGGCAATGGCGATGGGATCATTTTCTGGGAATATTCTTCCTTGCGGTTGATCCTCCTTTTGGCGCATGGATCAGATGAACAAAAGCAACAATCTCGCGGTATAATTTGGCTCTCTTGGTCCTCGTACCTGGGTTGGGGAAGTTCGAATGTTGGAATAGCAAGGTGGTCACACTCGTGTCGAATGGGGATACAATCACCCATTGGACAGTAATGCTCCCCTCCAACAATAATAGCGTCACTCTCTGGAGTTCGAGACCTTAGACGTTCGGTCAGGTAACTGTGCAAACAACGGTGGCCAAATGGATGACCGCAAGGAAGATAGACTCGAGTCTCGCAGCGCTTCCAGCTGTCAAAATCGCGGGTAGAGTCATGGAGTAGCCTATTGCACATGACACAGCGGTCCGGGCCTGAATCAGGGTATTTCACCACTTTTGGATCGCGAGCTCTGGGATCTTGTCTCCCCAGTTTTACAAAACCTGACGGATCTGATGGTCCACGCTGGTGGGCTGGAGGTAATTGCCGTGCAGTAAGTAGACGGAATTGTCTTTCCTCATTTCTCGGATTTTTTCGACGGAATCGGCCTTTGACTTGGCTCCAGAATCGTTTGAAGAGGGTTTTTTTTGCTGTGTTACCAGTATTTCCTTCAGTTGGGACTGAGGATGGAGCCTCGACTGGATTTTGAACCTCGGGGACTTGTGAAACAGGAGGCATGTCTTCGCGCCGCAGCTGCTGCCCCGAAGACTCTGTGACACTGGGCGCCTTCGCAGTATCCATGTCTGAGTGGTGAGATTGCTCATAGCGTCTGTAATGATGAGCGAACGCACAATTAAGTGAAAGTTTGGATGTAAAATATCGTAATTGGGATGATCTTGGCGATGTGTTTTGATGATGATGAGGAAGAAGAAAAGGAGAGTTTCTAAATCAAAGGGGTCTGTTTTATACGTATATACCTAGGTACCTAGTAGGTACCTTAGGTTTGCTTGCTTCCCTCCACTCGATCGAGCATTGAACACGCTCTCCTTTCGCTATCTAAGTTGGGAAGAGTCTACTTCTTCATTGTCGTGTAAATGTGCTTTGACGCAGAGGAGGAAGTTTTAATCCCCTCAAACGGGAAGATATCCTGCGTACCTATCTTAACACCAGGAACATCGGGGCTTGACTATGAACCTGGATCAGTTATCCTTCAAGTAACTGCTTCCATATCTTGCAATTATCCTGCCTTAGGTAATACTTGGTCAGGTAGGTCCTGAGGTAGGTCTTCGTCTTTCATTCCGCTTAGGTACGTACCTAGTGTTGTCTCTCATGTGTGTCTGTTGTTGATATCTGCAAGGTCGATAGGCGTTACTGTTTCATATACAAATCAACATATCTAGCAACGGCTTATAAAACATCCAGGCACAAGTTCGTATGATTCCTCCTACCTACCTCAGTTAGTATGCCTCTCTACCTTGGGCAAGGATCAAAATTCCTACCAATTCATGTATGTCGATGGTGCTACCTAGACCCACAATTTGCGACTTCCAGCATTTGCTTCACTTCGTCTACGTTAGTTACCTGGAAGGTATGGCGTTCAACCATAACAATCTCCCTTCCATTCCAGGTTTACTTGCACCATTTCTATCATTGCGACTCCTCAACATGCGTTTTCGTACAGAGCTGAAAAACATTCGCACATTTGCAAGTAAGTACTTACCTAAGGTACACACACATTCCTGGGCCTTTCTATCATTCTCTCTTGCTTTTCTCGGGCACGCTTTGCTAATCCTGATCACAGAGCTTACAGCTGCACTTGGCTCTCTTGAGAAGATTGCCTGGTTGCGCTTGAGCGATGATACTGCACGATTCACCGTCATCCCAGACATGGGATCTCAAGTATGGGCGTATGTGCTCTTCCTTCTTGGGCTGTCTTATGTAATTGCTCATAAATACTATCAAGGTCTCTTGCCATGGACTTCATTTTCGATGGCTATCACATTCAGTCCGCTGAGGCAGGCAATACTATTAACCTGGAGCTTCCCCTTCAACCACTTCAACGCGCCCTCAAGTCTGCGCTCAACAGTATCTCTGCTTCCTTGCGTCTCACAAAGAAAGACGGTCTGCCAGTTCTTTCAATGACTATCACAACGACTACGTCAGCTACCAACCCACCTGGGGCCGCGAAACCTTCAGGAACAGCCGCTGGTGATGACCCATTCGATGACGATGAAATGTTTCAGGCAGAGCACCTCGAGACTTCATTGAGGCGAGAGCATGAGAAGATCATTACGCAGGACATACCCGTGCGTGTCCTCCACCCCGAAACGGTTGAGACTATCATGCAGCCTCGAGTACGAGAACCAGACGTCCACATTCAACTGCCCCCTCTTCTTCAGCTCAAGGCCATCTCAGACCGCTTCACCAAGCTTGCTATGGCCTCTAATTCTGGCTCTTCCGCTAATACGAAATCACCGAAACTTGAGCTTAGCGCCAACATGCATGGTGGTCTACGACTACGGATCGCAACCGAGACGACAGATATCTGTAGTGTGTGGTCTAATCTCGAAAACCCAGAGCTTGACCCCGCACAGCTCGATTGTCCCGTGGAGGAGCATCCAAGTACCAAGTTTCGAGAAGGCGGTCCCAATCATTGGGCGACTGTCCGTGTCGATGGCAAGGACTGGAGCCGTGTCCTTAGTGTTGGTCGCTTGGAAGGCCGGGTCATTGCCTGTTTTGCTGACGACCATGCGTTGATTCTCTACGTCTATGTGCCCCATTACGATGATGCTACAGCGGATGACTCTGTCGTGACAGTGAGTTTGCCCTTTGTTTGCCCCCAGTCCCGTCAATTACGTGCTAAAAATCCCAGTACTATGTACAGTCATATAGTATGTGAAACACATCAAGATGAATGGTGACCTTTCATGTTTCAGGCGTTGGACCTGGGTAGCGGTTTGTAAGATTTTGGCATTATATTGGGTGTTCAGTCAAAAGTGTATATCTGTCAAAGCACACAGTAATGGGGAAAAAACGCAACGGCAGAATTCTTTATCGTATTATCGTTCTTTGTCGAATATCTCCTCGAGTCGTAATCATGTCTCGATGGTAGCATTAGGGTCTATTCTCTTCCTGATCCAAAACATTACAACTCGTCCGCTTCCTCAATACTTTGTGTACAGTCGCTGCTATAGCCCCAGGCCAGCACCTACAATTCAAACCATCGCAGAAATACAAAACGTAACAACAGTCTAACTATTAATACAAATCGATTCGTTCCTAGCACGAATCCCAACAAGAACGCCTGAAATTGACTCGGTATTTCAAATCCAAACGAATGACATCTGTTCGTGCCTTACTTGGCCATAACATCGACATATCGACCACCCTTTCGTGGCTTCTTCTTGTCACTGGCTTTGCGAGGCGCCACGCTGAGTAAATCGTCGATGCTGCTGGCATTGCTCATGCTTGTCGTTGGCCGACTGGGTGGTGCGCTGGCATTGCTAGTGTTGGAAACGGATCGAACCATAGCAGGGGGTGCGAGGCCCAGGCTTTCCGTCGATACCTGCTTGGACAGTTCTGGTGTTCCAGCTCGAACTTTGGGGGGCATGAGGGGTGG